TAAAGAAATTTCCCTCCCCAGAGGAATTTTGCTTCCATTTGTTGGAAGATTTTTTTTTTTTTCATTCTGCTACCAAAGATTATTTACAATTTAGTGGAGGAGACAGATGTGACTCAATTAACAGCAGAAAATGAATGAAGGGGAGGAAGGAGAGGGAGTTGAATGTAAAAATCATCACTGATGTGATGTATTAGTAAGGGCAATTTTAAAACCTCTCGAGTAATACATACTGCATTTGAGCGTAGTAAACTTTTCTGAAAGCTTCGAGAAGGCAGGGGCGGGGGCACAGTGTCGCAAGGCAAGCTGTTCTTACATAGTCTTCAGCTCCCCTACCGTGCTGCTCTCTCATCCCCCTGTCTGTCTGTTTCTCTCCTCTCTGCTCTTTCCCCATCCCCCAAATCCTGTTTATTTCTAGTGCAGAGCAGTTCATGTTTTGTTCCTTGACTCTTTATGCTCAAGGACTTATTTTCTATTCCATGTGGCATATCTAGATATTTTTCTTGCTAAAGAAATTTCCCTCCCCAGAGGAATTTTGCTTCCATTTGTTGGAAGATTTTTTTTTTTTATCATTCTGCTACCAAAGATTATTTACAATTTAGTGGAGGAGACAGATGTGACTCAATTAATAGCAGAAAATGAATGAAGGGGAGGAAGGAGAGGGAGTTGAATGTAAAAATCATCACTGATGTGATGTATTAGTAAGGGCAATTTTAAAACCTCTTGAGTATCAGGGCTGGCCTGTGGCTCACTCGGGAGAGTGCGGTGCTGATAACACCAAGGCCACGGGTTCGGATCCCATATAGGGAAGGTTGGTTAGCTCACTGGGTTAAGTCAAGGGTTAAGATCCCCTTACTGGTCATCTTTTAAAAAAACAAATAAATAAAAATAAAATAAAATAAAACCTCTCTAGTAGTATTATTGTTCTTTCTGGAACCTGGAGACAGAAGAACAGGCCAAGTGAATGGGGACACATATCTAATGGTATAGTTATTAAAAATGATACTTATTTACATATCATGTATGCCTGTGATTTTTACCTTTCCTTGCCTCCACTATTAAGTAACTGCATTTTTTTTCTTTTATACTTTTTGTTTGTCTGTTTTTAAGTAACTTTAAGAGTCCTCAGTCCATCAGTAGACAGCAGTTTAACTCTAGGCAAATTACTTAACCCCTCCGTTCCTCAGTTTCCTCATCTGAAAAATAGAGAAGTGGGAAAAGGCCATCTCAAATGTCACTGGCTGCAGGGTGAATCCACTGCTCTGTGACAGTCCTGCTACTCCAATAAGACGCTCAGTTCTGGGAAGACAGAGCTCCTTTTTACAATTCCCCAGCCTGCTTTTTTGTATGTTCTTTTCTGATTCCCACAGAGGTACACATAGGATGGTGACTCATTTAAAATCACTAGCTTCCTACTTCCTCCTGTTCTAGAGACAGACACTTCTGAGCTTCAGCTGCTGGATGAGTGTGTGTTGGGAGGCTCTGTTCTAAGCTGCAGGGGCTCTGTCTGGGTGTTCAGCACAAACATCTGAGCACAGCAGGCCAGGGCTGCCATGGGTGCAGAGGTGAAGAGCTGAGATCCCAGAGCCCCAGAGGCATTGCCGGATGAGGAGTGGCCTGAAGCAACTGTGTGCAGCTCAGGGGCCAAGAGAACTGGGCCACACTGATCAGCAGAGGACAATGCGCTCAGAAATGAATCTGTTGGAGTGCTCAGTCAAGCAGTCAGTCCATTGTTCCAGCATCTTGCAGCATTATGCAGAGCTCAAAAGTAGGCACTGTGAGGAGACCCAGAAGAATGAAGAGATACAATCCCTGCCCCGGAGAACTTTCACAGGTTAATGAGAGGATGCCACCATAACCCCGCTTTCTGATCCAAAAATCAGACACTCAGACTAACAAGTATGCACCTTGCTCAGCCAGTGAGCGGCCAGTCTATATGTGGGATCCGAACCCTCCGCGGGAGCACCGCCGCACTTCCCAAGCAGCGCACTATAGCAGTGCGCCACCGGGCCGGCCCAATTCATAGTATTTTTAAACCATAGAAATTCTACCACATAAATATATTTTTGATGTTAAAGAAATGTAATACTTATAATTAGGAGATCCCTAAAAAACCCCAGCCGGCATCATCAACAGTTAGATGAGACAGACACAGCCAGAGGAATAACCTGAAAACCAGAAGGAAAACACCAGGCAAGCCAGGACGGCTGAGATCAATGGTCCATGACCTCAGGTCTCTGTAACCCAATTGCCTATTGGATCAGCATCCCTCCTCAAAGTGAACCCCACTTCTTTCTGGGACATTCCAAAGGGGTGCCTCATATGTGCCCACAAACAGGTCTGTCATCTGCAGTCATTATTTGGTGTCCTCCTGGCTCTCACTCCTGAGCCCCAGCTCATGTCCCCTTCCACTGTCCCCCTGTTGTCCTTTCGTCTATCCAGCTGCTTGGGAAGCCTCATCCATTCAATATTCAGTAACCATCTGTTGAGCATCTACTATGTGCCCTGCCCTGTATTAGGCACTAGGGATACAGAGACGAGTCAGACACAGTCCTTAAATCAAAGAGTTCTTTGTTTATTCAGAGAGAAAGGCACATAAGCAGATGCTTATAAACTTCTGTAAGTCTACTCATGTCAAAAGCACCAGAAACAGGCTTGCAAAATTGCTCATTCTACACTCAAACAAATGAAGGAAAGGCGGTACCTTTGTGTCTTTCCACCTGCTGTAACCTTCCTTGCGGGCTCGCACCCCTCAGGGTGGTGGAGGAAGACTTATGTCAGTCTGTCATCCTGGTGAGCCCAGTCTGCTCCACCCATTTTAACATTCTCTTTAGGTAGCTCGTTCTCTGCCTGGACAGTCCAGGCAGTTCTCAAGCCATCTTTCTGATTTCCTCCTTGAACCCCAGCTCATCTCTAAGGAGGGGTGGAGCAAATGTAGGTGGTGTGGCTGAGGTGACCTCATGGCACTGGGGGGACACAATGTCTGTGGACCTATGTGGTATTCTTAGAATTCCCTGGTCTCTGCACAGAGTCTAAGTGGCTACCTGGTCTGATCGAGCTATGAGCCAGCTCCCACCACAGCAGCTGGTGGTCCCAGCCACTGTCTCTGTCCTTGAAATCCCTGTACGTGTGGCCCTTTGCTCCTTCTTCTGCCTTCTGCCAGGCCTTTACCCTCTCAGCCCCTCTGAGTCCTCTCAAGGACTTGTGGGCACTTTGGAGCACTTGCAAATTCTGTGCAGGTATAAGGTGCCTAAGCATCATCCCTAGGGTGGGGAAGGGGGGCATGTTGAAAACTTAGATCCCTCTTAGGTCTCCCTCTATCACATTTTTCTTTCCATAATCCTTCAGGATAAAAAAGTCAGACGTCAGGCTTTCTTCTCTTTGAACATCATGTCCTCCTTTTACCCCCATCCAATAAGGCTCAAGGCTAGCCATCACGGGCAATGGGGGGCATTTGTCTATACTATAGAAGAACTCCGTAATCCGGTCCTTAGGCTGCTTCATGCTATTTGTCAAAGGGGTAGATAAAAGAAATTAAAATACCCTTTTGTCCCTCACAAAGACTGGCTTTTTTTTTTTTTCAAAAGATGACCGGTAAGGGGATCTTAACCCTTGTCTTGGTGTTGCCAGCACCACGCTCAGCCAGTGAGCCAACCGGCCATCCCTATATAGGATCCGAACCTGTGGCCTTGGTGTTATCAGCACCGCACTCTCCCGAGTGAGCCACAGGCCGGCCCACAAAGACTGGCTTTTAAGCCTTTCATCTTGCTACTGACTCTAAAATACCATTTTAAGTGTCAGAAGCTGAATATTGACTTTTTCTTTTTCTTTGTGTTCCTGCTGTAATCTTAACTCTTCCAGAGGCAGACAGAAGGCTTGAGTTGTCTAGGGAAAAGTCATAGACACGGAGATACAAGAGAAAAAACAAAAAAATCTCATCCATATATTTCAGAATATTTTTTTGAGTTCCTCTGTGAAGTTCAAAAACGATGCTTCCCAACTCTTTTCCCCCTGCCTTGGCTCAGATGGGCTGTGAAATGATGCTTCAGTTCTAGAAACCGGGCCTACTTAGGCTTTCTCAGTATGTAAAAAGAATACATAGAGAGACAAGCACTGCATTTACAAAACTAAGATTAGGGTTACAGATGACCAAGAGGGGAGTTGTGAATGTCGGTCTCACCAAGATATAAAGATCCCTGCCTGAATGAAAAAGGAAAGAAGAAACGGCAGTTTTTTAAAAAGTTTTAAATGTCATCTCTGTAAAAAACAATTTGCTAGGCACTCTCCTGCACCAAATCTTCGTCAATCTTCCCAACAATTCCTCCAAGAAGCCATTTACAGAGATTGTGAGCCCGTCCCAAGATCTCACGGTTACTAAGCCCACATTCCAGTGGCAGCCCTCATGAGCAGGTGTGGACATATGAGTGGGGATCAGGGTAGAGCTGGGGTGTTTCTTCTCATTACAGCCTCAAGACAAGATGGCACAGCTTAAACTGTTAAGTGGGTAACAGAACCCCAGGATGCTGGCTCCTAGAGCATTACCTTTGTCTTTGCTCTGACATGTTCTAGAAAATTGGCTGCAGGCAGGGGAATGAACAGAGTGGCTTCTGGAAAGAGGTCTCCAGCACCTCACCTATGTGACGCTATGATAGGAGAGAGAATCCCAAACTGGATGAGGACAGGTGTGAAGGTAGTAGAATTCAAGCCATTTTCCAATCTTCCTCATTTGGGGTGGAACAGGGGTCTTCCATTTCTTCAGCAATTCTCTGGAGTCTCTCATTCCCCAGCTTTTTAAAAGCTCCTCTCCCTCTTTTCAGAGCTTATTGGAGGTCTGTCCTGGCACGTACCCTCTTTCCCAGGAACAAGAGTGTGAGGTGGAGACAGGGTAGGTTGGGACACAAAGTACAGTTGAGTGTGTGTCCCAGCCCCACGCCCTCACTGAGCCCAAATTCTCATCTCCCCTGGCAGTCGGGCTCCGCAAAGACAGGCGACCAACTGCTGGGCTGCCGGTGCCCCCACCTACATTGGAGATTATCTCCTAAGCAGATACCCCCTTCCACACTGGGGATGTAGGGCTTGGAAACGAGAAAATGCCAGGTCTGAGCGAGAGGAAAGAACAAGCCCAGCAATACACAGAGCTCTGTGTATTCAGAGGGAAGTTGGCAGTGTTGTGCTGGGGCAGAGAAACTCCGAGTGGTACAAAGGGACGTGCCCAGAGTGGAGAAATCATGCTAATTGTGTGCACCAGAGCTGGAGAACGCCACCCAAAATGAAGAGAGAAAAGGGAGTACTGTGCAGAATCTCCAGGGCCCTGCGCCTCACTCCTTTCGTCTACCTTCTTCTGATCCAGACAGGTAGGAGACCAGAAGGGCGAGAAAGGGTCTGGGGAAAGGCCCCGGGGCTTTTACAGGAGAGGGAGGGGAGAGTCGGGGGCCTGAAGCCTTTGGGCGGGAGGAGGGGAAAGAGCTCAGCTGCCCTGGGAAGCCTCGCAGTGAATTCAGGCATCAGTGTTGAATGTCTTTCATTCCGTGTGCCTCCCGCCTGGCCGCTGCCCCTGCTCCTGCTCCCCTCCCCCAAAAGCCTGCCTGACTTTGGAGCTCCCACGGCATTCAGTACATTAGATGGAGGGCACTGGGCCATTTCTTATGGTATGACTTGTTGGCATGGGCCAGTCCGGCGTTCTTTCCAAGAGATTATAGTGGGGCTTGGAGGGAGGGGGAGGGAAAATCTTGGTTTTGTGCCTCCCCAACCCCCTCTCTGCCTTCTCTGAGTGTAGAACAGCGAGGGAGATGAAAGAAGCTTTGGAGATAATAAGCAGCCTCCTGGTTTGGGACGGTAATACCGACCTATCTATAGAAATCTTGGTTTTGTGCCTCCCCAACCCCCTCTCTGCCTTCTCTGAGTGTAGAACAGCGAGGCAGATGAAAGAAGCTTTGGAGATAATGAGCAGCCTCCTGGTTTGGGACGGTAATACCGACCTATCTATAATTCACTCCACGCCATAGATATCTACCTCCTGTACTGCCCCCTACCGACTCCTTGGAGAACTGATCTTATTTTAGGTATATGTATTTATGTGTATACACACACACAATTAGAGAGAGCCTAGGAATTCACAACTTACTGGGCAACCAGATGCAAAGATCATTTTAAATAAAATGCAGGAACTATTATGAGTCAGATTTGCAGAGAACAGATAAGAATCAGAGGAGGGTCACCTCCCCCATCTGGGGAGCCGGTGCTGGTGGTGCAGGGTGAGGGTGGGGGAACATCAGGAAAGCTTTCCTGGTGGAAGAAATGTCTGCACTAAATTTTAAAGGATGAGAAAAATGGGTAGGAGTGTGAGTGGGCATAATAGTTGGGGAAGGGCAAAGGCCAACAGCTTGAGGTGGCATCATGTGTTTAGGTGGAGCCAGTAGTTCATCATGACTGGAGAGGAAAAGTGTGAATTGAGTTAGGCAGGAGCCATGTAAACCATACTCAGGAGGCTGGGATATAATCTGTAAAGGATGGATAGGGAGGGGAATGAAATTGTTTTTAATTTGGGGACTGGCAGGGTTAGATGTGCCTTTCAGATTACTCAGTCTGCAGTGAAGCATTGGAGGGGAAACTGGAGGCAAATAAGATGAGAAAGGAAGCTTATGAGGTTTCTAGGGATGCTGTAACAAACCGCCACAAACGGGGTGGCTTAAACAAGAGAAAACTTAAACTGTCTCAGTTCTGAAAGCCAGAAGTTTGAGATCAAGGTGTCAACAGGGCCATGCTCTTTCTGATGGCACTAGGGCAGGATCTGTTCTAGGTCACTCTTCTAGCTTCTGGTAGTTCCTTGGCTTGTGGCTGCATAACTCCATTCCTTACATAGCATTCTCCCTGTGTGCATGTCTGTGTCCAAATTTCTCCAGTCATATTGGATTAGGGGCCCACCCTACTTTGGCATGACCCATCCTAGCTTATTATATCTGCTATGACCCCATTAGGCTTAAAAACAGATAGATGCTTATTTTCTCACCGTCCAGGAGGCCAGAAGTCTGAGATCAAGGCGTTGACAGGGTTGGTTTTATTCTGGGGCTTCTGTCTTTGGCTTGCAGACAGCCATCTTCTCCCTCCGTCCTCACGTGATCCTGTCTCTGTGTGTCTGTGTCCTAATGTCCTCTTCCTATCGGGACACCAGTCATATTGGATCAGGGCCCACCCTAATGACCTCATTTTACCTTAATTACCTCTTTAAAGACCCCATCTCCAAATACAGTCATATTCTGAGGTACTAGTGGTTAGGACTTCAACATTTGAATTTGTGGGGGTGGGGGGGGGGGGGGACACAATTCAGCCCATAACAAGGCTACTGTGATAGCATGGACTGGAGTTAGAATAAAGATAGAGGGAATAAGACAGGTTGAGATAATATTTTGGAGATAAAGCCAGGACCTAGTGACTGATAAGAAATTGAAGTATCCAGAGAAGGAGGCAGGGATTCTGTGTGAAATCCTAAACAAAAAATGAGATAGGGCTGGTGATATGGTGATTATGTTGAGGTTGAAATGCCTAAAAAACTTCTGTTATGAAAATGTTAAGTAGCCTGAGGCTGAGGGGCAGAGAGGTAAGGACTGGAGAGAGGTACTTGGAAGCTGTCAGCCCATATGTGGGAGTTAAAAAATGAGCATGGGTCATATTACCTAGAAGGACGGGAAAAATGGGCTGAAAATGGAACATCAAGTAACCCCAAGATTTGTAGAGGAAGGCAGAAGGAGAAAAGTCTGTTAAGCAGACCAAGAGGGAACTGTCAGAAATAGAAGGGGAACTAGAAGACTGTGGTGTCCAGAAAGTCAAGGAGGTTGACAGTTTTCAGGAGTAAGTCAACACCATCAAATGTATCAAAGAGGTCCAGTATAACAAGGACCTAAAAGAGTCCATTGGATGCGGCAATTAAGAGGCTACCTTTGCCTTTAGTGACAGGAATCTCAGCGGAAATTGCAATAAGTTGAAATAATGAGAACTGAGGTTGTGGAGACAGTGAATTGGGAGTAGAAAGGGCACAATCAAATATACAAAATGGAGATGTCCCTAAACTCTGTCAGGTCATCAAATGGTAAGAAAAAAAAAACTGTGGAAAGATCTTGTCAGGCAGCACGACTAGGCAAAAACAAAAGGTGATAAAGGATCTTCTGTGTGGAAAAATGTAGCTTAGTAAATATAGCCCCACAATGCTAAATATAAACTATGCTAATAAGACATCAGTTATGACCTATGGCAGGTGAAAGTAAGCGCAGGGTCAGGTCATGGTACTGCTATGGACTAACAAGCACGAAGAGCTGAGATTCTGTAAGGAAGTCCTACCATCCTTAACACATTATTTAGGAAAATGCCAGCTTCTGCAACAAATAAATTCCAAAATTTAAGTTACTGGTATTAACTATGTGATAGTCCAGTGCATTTTCACATTTTCAGACAAGGCCTGGGTTGTGGAGGGACTCTGTTCCATGAAGGTTTTCCAGAGGCCAGGCTGATGGAGCTCTATCAACTTGGACATGTGTTTCCAAGGATCACCCTGAGGTTTATCTCCACGTCTTCTATGTAGAAAATTTAAAAAGAAAAAAAAAAGAATGGAGGTTTTGCTAAACCAGGTCTGTAAGTGGTACATATCACTTCCACAAGTTCTATTGTCTAGAACTCAGTCACATGGCCATCCCTAACTGCCAGAGAAGATGGGAAATGTAGTTTTTAAGATTGGCACTAAAAGGGGGATTGGATTGTGTGGCTCTGGCTCCCAAAGATTTCCATAATATCTTATTTTATGGCAGAAACCACCAAGTTAGCCTCAGGCAAGTAACACTCAGTCTTTAACGCTCTGGCCCTGATATGAACAAATGAGGTTTTTCTTTTTTTTTTTTTTTTTTTTC